ATGATAAATTCTTTCGGTTTTTCCTACACCGATGTCGGTAGGAGTGAAACGACTAACTCGGAGGACTTTAAATTAGCCAAATGGGTGCCAATTAGACAAGCGCAGACAGAAGGACTCAATTGAAGAAGAAAAGGAAAAGTGGAATTTGTACTGCGATGACAGAAAGCTATGGAGATCACAGAGTCGATTGAAAAATTCGGAACCAGACGAGGAAAGCAAACATCCAATCTACTTACCGAGGTATAATGTGGTTACCGAACTTTTGATACGACAGCAACATGAAAAGCTATATCAGGTTGGAACAGCGCATGTTCTTTCAGAAATGTGGCGCAAAATTTGGATACCGAAAGGACGAATGGAGGTGAGACGTGCGGGCTGCAAACGTTGGACAACTAAGCCATTTAAATTACCAGCTATGCCGAATCTTTCTTAATCACGAATTTTACGTTCAAGGACTTTTGCAAAAATCGGATTGGATTATTTTGGCCCGATCTCCATCAAAACCGAAGTTGGAGTAACCAAAAGATGGGTTACCTATTCACATGTTTCACAACAAGAGCAGTTCATCTTGAGGTTGTAGAAAATTTGTCGGCTGAAAGTTTTCTACACGTGCTAAGGAGATTTATCTCTCGACGTAGCTATCCAGAACGAGTTTTGAGCGACAATGCAAGCCAATTCCAAGTAGTTTTCAAAGCCATGAAGGAGCAAGGACACACCAGGATAGGTGAATTCCTGGCAGAAAAGGGAATGGTTTGGGAAAATATAACACCGAGAGCTCCTTGGAGTAGCGGACTCTACGAGGCTGATAGGGCTGACCAAGAAGGCTATGAGAAGAGCTATTGGAAGAAAACTGTTATGGGGAAGAGAACTTATGACGTTGATCGTGGAGATCGATGGTGTACTGAATACCTGGCCGTTGACTTATGCTAACTTCAATGACTGTAAGACAATACATTCAATCGATTTTATACATCTTAGTGCCTCTTTAATTATCCCAATAATTGATGACGAACTGGACGAATTCAAACCAGGAAACTTTGATGCAAGGAAACGAATAATTAAATACTAGTTGGAGACGCTTAAAGTACTCGATATATTTTGGGAAACATGAAAAAGGGAATACTGAACGAACCTCAGGGTAAGAACTCAAAAGGAACACGTAAATCCTAAGGTCACAGGGGATCGTAAGCCAAGAGAAGACAAAATTGTATTAGTTGATGAACCAGAAACGTCTCGAAGCTTGTGAAAGTTGGCAAGGATAAAAGAACTCAGAAAAGGTAGAGACGGAGTGACAAGAAGCGCATTGGTAGAAATCCCGAACGGGAAACTTCTCAGTAGACCAGTAAATGTACTGTATCCCTTGAAAATAATTGTTGAAGAAAGTTCGAGAATTCAACCGACAGCTTTTAAAAAAACCAATGGTAGGAATGCTACTCAGCGAAATTCAAACACCGAAATTTTGAATTCAAATCGAAAATCAAAAAAATATATGCATCAGTATTATAACTCCTAAGAGCAATATTCTTCTTCAGTCGGGAATGTCGGAAAAACTTCGAAAGTCATAACGAGAAATTGCAGCAATAAAAAGAAGGAGGTCTTGAGCGCCAAATCATTTTAAAAAGATGCGTTTTAACTAGTCGGTGGGTTGGAGGATATCGGGCGGCATTTGGTCTATGGTTTCCTCTTTTGTTCCTATTTATATTGTCGTTGAAATTGTCGATTGTGATTGTTGAATTTTTTGATTGTGATTGTTGAATTCGTTTCTATATTACCGAGTTTTGAGGAATAAAGGTTTAACTACCCAAGTTTAAGATTGAGAAATTCGGCGACGGGAACCACAAAAAGTTTTTCCCAAAGTTTTCATATCTGTCAGATGACCAAACTATTCAAACAGTAGTACGGAAAGATCGGAAAAGATGTAACTGTATTTACAGCTATTCTGAAAAATTTACACGTACTTGAAAGTTACTATCACGTTGTTGGCAAAGATGTCTTTTTGGAATTGGAGTGGAAAAAAAAATTCGTGCTTCATTCACAAAATTACTGTATTAAATTGAACTGTTTTCATTTTTCAATAATCCAGTACTGGAAAATGAAATTCTTGAATCTATTGTTTTACCGAATTGTTTCTGAATTGTGAAATCGATATCTTTGATAAAAATTAGAAATAAAATTTCCTTGTAAGACAATTGAAATTATCTAATTTTGTAAAAATTACTGCTACCTTATATTACATATGATTTGTAACCAAATTACACAGCTCTGAAAGACTCAAAATTGAGTGATTGGATTTTTGCATCTTCAAATCCTTTATAAATCCGATATTTATGTTAAGCAATCCGTGTTTTGCAAATAAATAAGATAAAGAGAACGATTTTATCTAGTCAGTTGATTTTTATCTAATTGTGATCAAACCATTGTGACTAATCACTTTTAGAGTACTGAAAGTAAAACAAAATATCATCGCTTTGTCAACTATAATTAATGACCCCCTAATGTAATCAATTTGATGTCGTTATCTTTTAAAATTGTTACCTTGAAA